TTGAGACGATTTTGGCTTGCTCTGCCGTTTTAATCATTGTACTATCTATGACTCTGAAATTGTGAGTGTAAACAGCATGCAATATAGTTGGTTCGGCTTGCTACCTCCGCCACCGAGTGTAAACGAATTTGAGCCAGTGTTGGTTTTTGTTTTTTTTTTATTATTTATCATTTTCGAAATATCTATGTCATCACAAAGATGGCTAGTATAACAAAAATGAAATGAAAATAAAAGGTTCATAGTCATACATAAATTAATTTTAAAATGACGATCTGTTTCTTCTCCGCGGTAAGAAAACCCGGAAGCCCAATGTACGGAAAAAGAGTTTGGGCGATGTATATCGTCATCACCTGAGCACGTGGTGGAGGAGAAATTTCTATTATCTCATTGGCTAACATGTGATTTTGAGGCGTGGCTTCTTTGATGGACTCACCCAGGCGCAACTGCCGAACTTTGAACTTTAACTTTGTTTACGCCGCGAGTTCATGAAAGTCAAACATGGAGTCTGAAAATTGGTAGACATTTTAACGAACTTTCAACAGAAAGGAACATCGATATGAGTGCATACTATTGTAAATTAACTTCGTGTCGGTAAATAAGGTTATTTACAGACCTGTTGCGCTATTTATATTGGTGGTTTTTGTATTAATTTTTGTACAGCATTGATTGAAGTAGCCGGCGAAAACATCGTAGTAGCCGATCGAATGCGCCGGCCGCCGGCTCTTAAATAAACCCCTGTAAACCTATTGCATATGCGTCGCGCACGCTATCTGCTGCTGAGCGAAATTATAGTATGATTGAGAAAGAGGGTCTGGCATGTGTATTTGGTGTTAAGAAATTCCACCAATACTTGTATGGATTGCATTTTAATTTATCTTCAGATCATAAGCCACTTCAATCTTTATTTAATGAGACTAAGGGTATCCCAACCATGGCTTCGGCCAGGATACAGAGATGGGCTCTCAATCTTTCAGCTTATGATTATACTATGCCGTGTCGTCCAGGTATCCACGATGAGGTAGCTAATAGCTTAAGTAGATTACCTTCACCTACTACCCAAGGGTTGGTTCCCATACCAGGTGATGTAGTGATGTTAATGGAGCACATCAACAATGCTTCATCCCAAGTAACATATAATAGCATTAGAAAGTGGACCGATAAAGATCCTTTGCTGGCACACGTCAGAAATTGCATATAAGCTGGTAGCTGATAGCTTAAGTAGATTACCTTCACCTACTACCCAAGGGTTGGTTCCCATACCAGGTGATGTAGTGATGTTAATGGAGCACATCAACAATGCTTCATCCCAAGTAACATCTAATAGCATTAGAAAGTGGACCGATAAAGATCCTTTGCTGGCACACGTCAGAAATTGCATATTGTATGGTAAATGGGACTCACAGATCAATCAGGACCCTCAAGAAGCATTTAAGCATTACTTAAGACGTAAAGATGAATTGAGTGTCCAGGATGGTTGTATTTTGTGGGGTTCTCGTATTGTAGTACCACCAAAGGGACGCCCACTCATAATTAATGATTTACATGATTGTCACCCAGGAATTACTGTAATGAAGTCCACAAGTAGACAGTTTGTATGGTGGCCATGTATTGACAATGTGTGAGTACATGTAACAAATGTCAGATGAACAGGAAAAGCCCTACCGAGGCACCATTCAGCATGTGGGAGTATCCCAAGGAACCATGGTCTAGAATACACTTAGACTTCATGGGACCTTACATGGACAAGATGTTTCTGATTATTGTAGATGCTCATTCCAAATGGATTGAAGCTATAATCTTAAATTCCATAACAGCTGAAATTACTATTGAAGCACTAAGAAGGGTATTTGCCACCCACGGTATTTCCAAAGTTTTAGTGAGTAATAATGGGTCAACCTTTACTAGCGAACTGTTTAAAGAATTCGCAATGCGTAACAGGATTAAGCATATGTTCAGCGCCCCGTTCAAGCCATCATCTAATGGCTTGGCAGAGAGAGCCGTCCAGACGGTTAAACAGGGTCTCGCCAAAATTGCTGAGGGTTCTCTACAAACTAAACTATCACGATTCTTATTTAAGTATAGAATCACCCCTCATTCTACTACTGGCGTTCCACCATGTAAGGCACTTATGGGTAGAATGTTACACTCGCCATTGAGCATGGTGCACCCTAGCATAAATGACAGATTAGTGCAAAGGCAGGAATGCCAAAGGCAACACCATGACCGCCATTCACCGATAAGGGAATTTGAAATTAATGACAATGTCTTTGTTAGAAATTATGCCAGAGGGGACCAGTGGCTTTATGAGGTAGTTCGTCAGAAGCTGGGTAGCAAAATGTATGATGTGGAGTTGGTAGATGGAAGAATTGTGCGACGTCATGTAGACCAAATGAGGCGTCGTTTGTCAGGGGGGAAAGATCCTAATGATGAAAAGGGTAATGTAATTGTAGAAAGTATAATTGTTGAAAACGTTAATGAAAGTGGAGTCAATGACAATGTCAGAGCTAATGAGAAAAAGATTGCTACTGCAGAAGTTGATGATTATGGAAATGTTGATAGTGAAGATGTTGTAATCAATGTTGGTAATCAGAGTAATGAGTCGGGTAAATTTATGAATCAAAATAGTAGTGGTAATCCTAAAGAGTTGCGTCGATCTAATCGTGCAAGGAAGGCTCGTGAGAGATTTGGATTCTCATAGTTAGCATACGTTTGACCTGTTGGTCCATGTTGATAAAAATTTAAAATGTTACGATGGAAATGCTTAAACGGTGGGGTGTGATATTCCATTGCTATATTTATGTGCCTGACCATCCAGGTACATTGTTTACAGTTTAGATTGTAGCGCACGCGTTACTGATACGCGCTACTGGTATGCCATCTAGGGGGAGTAGGCACTCGGTGATGAATAAAGAAGTTGTGTTTAAGTTAGAAACATAGTTTTCGAGTCATTTATTAATAGTCATACACGAAACTATTACAAAATCTTCGAGGTATCTCTTTTGTGTTGTTATTCCTGCATCATGGTGTTCATGAATTGTGCCTATTGACTCACAATGACCTATCGCTGATTCAAACTTGGATGTAAATCTCACTACTTCGGCACCAGCCAATCCACCTTCGTAAACTCATTTTGTCTTCTGTTAATCCGATTGCTCCACTTACTCCCTTTATTTTAGCACTTAACTGCTTATGATTGTGATCCAATGCAATTTTAGAAAAATTTCTGTTTGATTTTTGTATGGTAAACACAGGTCCACAGGTAAATTGTGCATAGATTGATTTTAAGTATGTCAGTTCAAAGTTGCATGAATTCACAAACTGAAGAAGTTTTAGCTCCATCCTCAGGGTTAAATTCCTGAACTTCAACATCAGTTGCTTCTCCATGTGGTTTTCCCATTCAGAAAATGGCTTACTATAGGGAAAATTTCCTGCCGATAAATAAACACGAATGGCAGTGGGTAATCATGGGTATACTTCCCTCGCGATTAAAATCGTAACGATGCTGAGTTTGGTCTACAGGAGCTCGTGCTTCGTACAGGTCATTCCATTCGTAGACAAAGCCTTTTTAATGGAGAAAGTCTCTACAGTTTGTAGTTGCCAAGATATGAGCACTTTTTGGTTTTATGGCGGCCATTTTAAAATCAAGATGGCCACCATAACAGACGTTGGACGCTTGGCACCCCCCTCCCCGATATTTTGATTCTTTCAAATATTAAACTTGACGTAACATGCATGTGGCGAATTTAAGAGAGGCTTTGCCGTTTGAGCTTGAAAAATTCAACTTGTCGTAAGAACCGTTACCGGCTTATTTTGTCTGAGGCCCAGCCACGTTCAAGACGCGGCTGTTTTTGTCGAACTTCTCGTAACAGTCGTAAGAATTGCATGAATCGTAATCGTAAGTTTTCAGGCATTGCCTTGAGAGACAGTGCCTGGGGGTAAAGCCTGTTTTCCATTAGGCGAATTTATTCGCGCGAATCGAAAGCGTCGGTCCATGCGCATGCGCATTCGCATTTCTATTGGAGTTTTTGCGAAGCGAAAAAATGCTCAACCAATCAGAGCTCAGGAAGCCAACCGACGCTTTGATTTGCACGAATAAATTCGCCTAGTGGAAAACCAGCTTTACGTTGCTAACGATTCTTATGCAAAGTTGACTTCAAGTCAACTTTTCATAACAAACGTAAGTAAAGCCTGGTTTCCTGTCGACGTAAAAGTCAGAATTTCTTACGATTCATACGATTATTATGATTCTTACGACTGTAAATCAGCCGCGTCTTGAACGTGGCCGCAGACAAAATAAGCAGGTAACGATTCTTACGCCAAGTTGACTTTTCAAACCTCAAGCTGAAATTCCTGCGCTAACGTTGTTACACGCTCCTAGCGTCAAGTTGAATATTGTCCTTGCAATTGCGATTGCATGTTGTGATGCCTGATTTGCTCAAAACACGGAGAGAGAGAAATTTTGTGATTCAACGTTTTTATATTTCATCATTATCAGAGAATACTGATGAGAAAATCTCGTCAATTGAAAAGGCTATCCAATCAAATGAGGTAATTAGTATGATGTGTGTTTTACATAAAGTAGATCACTTCTTCTTTTTACGAATAAACAACAAATGTATGAAAAGCCCGGAAATTCTAACTGGATGAAAGTCTCATGAAATAAAATAAACAATTTTTTTTTCCAACATTTATTCAGAAAAAAATCCACAACAAATTACAAATTGCAAATTATTTACATAGGCATCAAAGAAGCGGTGGCTTGTCAGTTTAAATACCAAACATACAAGACATACACACAGAATACATAGTAAACACATCAACATTTTAATTTTTAAATTTGGGATCGCCCACAATTGCCAACACCTCCAGGAAGGGGAAATGCCTCAGTGATCATCACGTCATAGTAATAATACCGTGCGCATCAGACACCAAGACATCTCCGACAGTGTACTGCCCCGGAAAGTGCCAGCGATCATAGACGACTCCCAAGAAAAGTTTTCCTTAATAAGTATTTAAAATCATCTCTTTCAATTTATTTTTGATCGAATTTTGCGAATTTATTTTTAAAAGGTTATCATATAGCTCATTCCAGATATTTGGTCCGTGAATAAAAATAGATTTGTGACAGGATGTCAGTCTTGAAAAAGGTACATACATTTTGTTTGAATTTCTTAGGGCTTTTGCACGTTCACTTTTTGTATTACCATCAAGGTAAATAATCCAGTGAAATATACTTCTAACATGAAACTGTTTATAAGATAAGTAAATGCAATAAAATTATAAGTTAAGAATTAAATTATTCAATCCTCGCTAAAAAAGGAATTCAGACCATTGACCATGCACTTATAAAATTGTTGCAAGTTTCGATGAATATAGCCTCACAACTGACTTAAAATTGATATTTCATTAAGTCTGAGTTGTTCTAATTATAATCTAGGCTAATAAACGGTTAGAAAAAAGGACACTTATCTACTGTATAATACTTATATAATATTTGTTTTGGTCCAACTGCTGACGAGCTTTGGCCGATGGTGGGGGGGGGGCTTTGGGGCTTTGGCGTTTGTATTTTAAAAATGTTTAATTAGGTATTAAAGGCAGGGGTAATTAAGACATTTATTTGTACTTTTTGTTAATATCTTCAGATTGTCATTCTTTTTTTTATCTTATCTTTTTCTTGGACGCACCGTTATGTACATACTGTGCCACTGTTGCAAAAGTGTCGTTTCCAAATAAAGAATACAATAAATGTTTGTCCAATCAGTATGCAATAGGCCTAGGCCTACATGACACGATGGTCCCGAATGAGATTTTTAAGCACTGAATTCCATTTTTAGGAAGGATTGAAGAATTTAATTCTTAACTTATAATTTTATCACATTCACTTAGGCCTATCTTATAAGCTTTTTTCGAATGTTAGAAGTATATTTTACTGGATTAACTTACTGTTTATTTTTCGGGTTAATTTTTAATGAGCAAACCAGGCATCACAGCAGAAAATTGCAATCGCAAGGACAATATTCAACTTGCAACAACGTGTAACAACGTTAGCGCAGCAGAATTTCAGCTTGAGGTTTGAAAAGTGAACTTGGCGTAAGAAGCGTTAATCGAAAGAATTGTAAGAAATTCTGACTTTTACGTCGACAGGAAACCAGTACGGGGCGCCAAGCGACACACTACCTGTTTTGTCACACAAACCATGTTTGTAAGGGACAAATCATGTTTTGTAATATACGTAAGTTACTTTGTCTTTACAAAACATATTTTGTAAAAGACAAAACCATGTTTGCCTGTACAAAACATGTTTTTTAAAAGACAAAACCATGTTTGTCTGTACAAAACATGTTTTGTAAAAGACAAAACCATGTTTGTCTGTACAAAACATGTTTTGTAAAAGACAAAACCATGTTTGTCTATACCAAATTATGTTTTGTGAAGACAAAACCATGTTTGTGTGTACAAAACATATTTTGTCGAGACAAACATTGTTTTGTCTCTACAAAACATGTTTTGTATAGACAAACATGGTTTTGTCATTTACAAAACATGTTTTGTCTCAACAAAATATGTTTTGTAGAGACAAACATGGTTTTGTCATTTACAAAACATGTTTGCCTCTACAAAACAATGTTTGTCTCAACAAAACATGTTTTGTCGGGACAAAACAATTTTTTAGCGTCACGATACACAGTGATAACGTGTTAAAAAGGCCTGGTGTAACAAAATTAATTTAATTAAAGGAGAATATGCAGAGGGATGTATTTAATTATACAACCGAGACAAAATTATTTCAGATCTGTTATAGCAGTACCTTCTTCCATAAACTGTAGGACTACAAATTAATTATTGTGATTCTTAATAATTCATTTTATTATATTTTTAGGCACACTTCTGTACCCAGAACCAATATACAGCACACTGTAAGTCAAGAATGATTTTCTTTCCTTTCTGGTGGTCATAGCAGTGCAGTCATACAATGGTATTCAGAATTCATTTTTAAAACATGTCCGATCCACTTCCTCCTTCTTACTTTCACATCATCACTGATTATATTTAACTTGGTTTTGTGAATTATTCTGCATTTAGACACATATGGAAAACTGATTTTTAAAAAATCGTCTTAAGAATTTAAATTAAATTTCCAATTTCTTATTATCTCTCTCAATAATTTCCCATGTCTCCCAGGGCCGTATAGTTAGTACAGATTTATCAAGTAGTATTGAAGAGCCTGATTTTGGTTTTCATTAAGTATTTGGATTTACATATCGGCGTTAGTTTCACAAAAGATTGATTTTCGTATTCTATTGTTGATGTCTTCGTTACCGCCCCCTGCTACAACCACTAATGTTGAAAACAACAGCTAATGTAGTAACAACTGTTAATGTAGCACACTCCACAACTTATGTAGTAAAACTCCCCGCTAATGTAGAAACACCAACAGCTTATGTAGTAAAAAGAAAATGTGCTCCAGCTTATGTAGAACGTTCAACAGCAAATGTAGAAACGAAAATTGCCTCACAGCTAATGTAATCACTATCGCCAGCTAATGTAGAATATTGCAACATTACAATACCGTTGGCTAAAAAAGCAGGGGTGGTGCCAGCGAAGGGGCGGACCAGCCCCCCACCCCCACCGTCCGGTAGAAAAATCGCAATTCGTCGGGAAAAAATTATTAAATTTATTTTGACATATTAGTGGCTCTAAAATTGACTAAACACATTAAGCCTTTAAAAAAGCAATTGAAAAAGCCTCTGAACCCCCTAAATTGCCAGATTTTTCGAGGGGCTTCACCCCCGGACCACTTTCAAAACATTTAACAGGTATGGTAAGTGTGCTGTGATTGGGTACTGCTTTCGTGAAAATTATTTCGTGTTATTACAAAGTTCGACGATTATTACAAAGTGCGACGCACTTTTTTTTTATTCAAGTGATTCTTTCTCCCTTTCGAGTATCAAATTGAGAATTATTTACTTTATTTGTCATATATTGTGGAAATACGAAAAAAAAAAGACAATTTTCTCAACAATTCAAAAAACAAAGGTTAAGAAGTGAACAATTTCCACAAGATTAATAACCATTATTACTGTAACACAGGGATTTGCAGTAATTTATTTATTCACAATCTTTGTCGCAGTAAGTAGAGAATTATGGATTAGTGTCCAAACAACTTTTACAATGTGTTCGAAAGTACTATCTTCTCTTGATGTTTTGTATTTTATATATGTATAAATGATTGATAGGCACAATTATAATTTTTAGAAAGTTGATATAGGCCTAGGCCTTCCAATTAAGTTACAAATAACAAATACCTAATATTTCTGTTAGATTCCTTATTTCACTTATTTTGATTTACAGCTAACGCTTACTTGCAACGTATGTAACAAAATTTTCCAAACTCGCTTCAGCTACAATCGACATATTTCCCGCCATACCGATGTCAATAAACATCAATGCGATAAGTGCGGTAAAGTATTTGCAAGGCGTGACAATTTTGTTCGACACCTCCAAAACAAGCATGGCAGTGAGAATAACGCGCAAATTGGATATGGTTCAGTTCAATTAGACGAACCTGTAACAAAGCGACAGAAGTTGTCTAACAATGGTCGTGACTTTTATCAAGTCACTAATATCATAGAAGTTGATATGAAGAAATTCAAGACGAAAGGAATTCAATACAGCGTTAAATTCAAGAACGATTTAGATATTCATGATCTAACTACCATCCTAAGTATCCTGCATAAAGTTTTTTATCGACAACTTGACGGATGGGGCTCATCCTGTTGATATGGTTCGTATGGTGGTAGAGTGTCCAGAATTAGATTATCCAATACAACTTCCGTTCATGAAACGTCACTTGACGGCAGACCTATTCCTTGCCAGAGTAGAACGTATACTGCAGTCGAACGAAGAATTCAGCATCGATGGGACACTAGAAATAAAAATGACGCACGTGAAAATGCCCAAAGGAGAAAAAATTCAAAAAAAGAGATACGTCTACTTCGAGCGATTCTTAAATGAAAAACAATGTATTCTTAGAATCCAAAATAAAGACGAACTGTGTTGCGCAAGAGTTATCGTTACAGCACAAGCTAAAATTGACAAACCAAAGAATTGGGAGGCCATTCGTAAGGGATATAAGGTACAGCAGCAAATGGCCGTGGATTTGCATCACGTAGCGGAAGTACCTCTGGCTAAATGTGGAATCAATGAGATCGAACAATTTCAACAACTGCTGTCAACATTTCAAATAATCATCGCTTCATCAGATTATGGCAATGCAATTATATACCGAGGACCGCCTGTGTAGTGAACTTCGAAATAAGAGTAGTTTAGTCTTCGTCTACCTTTGTAAGGTTTTAATCAACTAAAATGCAAGCAGTATAGAAAATAATAACAACAAGAAACCTGATAACCACGTTCCAGAATCGTCTCCTCATATGGAGCGCCAAACATAACATTACCTTGTATGGAGTGCCAAACATCTCACTACATTCTCCCCCACTTTAAAAACTCAAGTTATTATTTGGCATTATGAGGGACCATGGTTACTTAAAAACCCCAACGATCAGGCGGTTTTGCTTTTTCTGGATGATCGTCGAATTTTTACCGATTTGTCTGTTACGTTTAAACTTTCATTAGGCTTAGAACTCATTGGCTTAGGGCTATCGTTAGCATTATCTGATGGTTCTTTAAATATACAGGTATCATTTAATAAGGGTTTTATCTGATTGTTCTGTGGGTCATTGTTCTGTGGCGCAATATCATTCTCAGCCGCTGTACCAAACTCATTATCTGAAATCACTCCAACAGGAGCCAGGTGACGAAGTGATACTGTTGATTCTCTACCATCTTGAAAACGTACATGAGCGTATTGTGGATTTGCGTGTAATAGTTCAACCTCGTCGACTAGCGGATCAGTTTTGTGGGCGCGAACATGGCGCTTAATAAGAACGGGTCCTGGAGAACACAGCCAGGAAGGGATGGATGACCCCGATGTTGATCTTCTGTTGAAGGTAAAGAATCTTTCATGCGTCGTCTCATTCGTGGCAGTACATAATAATGAACGGACAGAGTGTAAAGCGTCATGTAAAACTTCTTGCCATCGTTTCGTTGGTAGTCCTCGCGTTTCCAAAGCTAATGTAATTGTTTTCCAGATGATGCCATTATATCTCTCCGTTTGCCCATTACACTGAGGATTATAACTAGTAGTTCTGCTACATGCTACACCCCTTTTTACAAGAAATTCTGTAAGTTCCTTACTTAGGAATGCCGTTCCTCTGTCTGAGTGGATATAAGCCGGTGTTCCAAATAAAGAAAACAACTGACAGAGACAGGTAATCACCGTAGATGATGTCATATCAGAGCAAGGAAATATAAATGGGAGTCTTGAAAACTCGTCGACGACTGTTAAGAAGTAAATATTCCTATCCGTGCTAGGCAACGGCCCCTTAAAGTCTATATTGAGACGCTCAAATGGCTGGGTGGCTTTGATCAATGGTGTGTTATTAGGCTTATAAAATCGCGGCTTTAATTTAGCACAAACTTGACAAGCAGCTGTTACCTTTCTTACCTCCTCTACTCTGAATGCGAGATTCTTTGTTTTCACAAAATGCCACATCCTAGTAATTCCCGGATGGCATAGCATATTGTGAAGTTCGACAAGGCGGTCAGTTACATTACTTGCCGAGCAACACGCTCTGGTCAATGTGTCTGGAGGAACATTTTCTTTACCTGGACGGTACACAATCTCAAATGTAAAACAGGAAAGTTCAATCCTCCAGCGCCTCATTTTCTCATTTTTGATCTTGCCTTTATGTTGCATATCAAAAATATAGCTAACTGATTTCTGATCAGTTTTCAGTGTAAACCGTCTACCAGTCAAGTAGTAGGACCAATACCTGACAGCTTTGATAATTGCCAAAGCTTCCTTCTCAATTGCTGGGTGATTCCTTTCAGGCCCTGTCAACTGACGAAAAAAGAATGCGACTGGTCTCCCTGCTTGATTCAATGCTGCTGCAATCACTGTTTCTGACGCATCTGTCTCAATTTCAAAAGGAATATTTTCATCAATTGCTGCTACAACCGAGTTTTGAATGTCCGATTTAAGATCGTGGAATGCTTTCACAGCCTCCTCTCCCAAAGGAAAGGTAGAAGATGATGACAATGGTTTAACTTTTCGTGAGTACTCTGGGATCCAATGGGCGTAATAAGCGAACAACTCCAAACACCGCCGAAGTGACTTTAAGTTCTGAGGAATAGGAAATTCCTTTAAAGGGCGTAGCCTTTCTGGGTCTGGTCTCAAGTTGCCATCTTCAATGACATATCCCAGGAGGCTCAATCGTTTTGTAGCAAAAACACCTTTATCTTCGTTAAAAGTTATGTTCCTTTTCCGCGCTGCATTAAGGAATTTAGTTTGGTTACTTATCAAATCGGCCATGTCCATACCACCTACTGTAACATCATCAAGGTACGCAAAGGTTGCTTTAAGACCCTCGTCTTTGATAAAGTTATCAATCTCCCTTTGAAAACAATATCGTCGATGCGGGGCAAAGGAAAGCTATCAGGGAGCGTAAAACGATTAATCGTTTGCGAATAATCAATAACCAGTCGCTTTTTGTGGTTCTCATTCTTGGTCACAACAACTTGGGCCCTCCATGGCGAATTACTTGACTCGATTATACCTTTTTTTAACAACTGCTGTACTTCGGCTCTGATAAAACACTTGTCATCTTCGCTATATCGTCGCGATTTAGCTGCGACCGGATGGCAATCAGCTGCTAGATTAGCGAACGGTTCTACAGGTTTGACTTTCATTGTTGAAAATTGTTCAGGTTCAGAATTAGATAAGTTTACAGTTTCGGTTGACCCACACAGTGTTAGTAGGGGTAGTATTCCACCATATTCCAAAATCACGCGTTCATGTTTTGTTTGAAAATCTAGTCCCAATATGACGTCAGTGCAGAGATCCGGCAAAACATGTAGCTTAACTTCCTTGTAGCTATGACCATTTAACTCGATCATAACTTCGCACGCTTGTATAGATTCTTGTGACAATGAAGTCGAAGCCATGTTAACTGATAATGGGCTGGTTTTAGTGTTAATTTAAGCTTCTTGACAAAGGAAGGGTGAATAAAGCTATCAGTACTCCCACTGTCAACTAAACAGTTCGCCGTTTTCCCATTTACTTTAATTTCAGTCATTGACCTCGACAACGACATAGTGGATGATGTAGCTGCTGCCATGTAGGGTCTGTTGTCAAACAGAGCAGACACTGTAGACTTTCTTTGAGTGTTAGTATTTGATGAAGATCGACACATCCTAGCGAAGTCACCAACTTTTCCGCATTTCCTACAACTCTCTTCTCGTGCTGGGCAATTTGAACGCGGGTGCTTATTGTAGCCACAAAAATAGCACTTTGCGGATAAATTTGCACTGGTCAGCCGAGATGGCTCAGGGCCTAGCGTATCCTCACATACGGCTGCACTCACGGTTGGACTAGTATTAGGCCTAGGTTCGCCATAATTGTAAGATTCGGAATTCTTCTGAGCTGTTTCAAGTGACCTAGCTTGGTCAAACATTGTTTGCAAATCAAGAGTTTTGTTTTCGAGTAACCGCTGCCTTATCATTTGTGAGTACAGCCCGCTAATAAACGAGTCCCTAATGCAATCATTACGGACTTGCTCAGCAGTTACAGCTTTAAAGTTACAATCTTTGCTAAGGACCTTGAGCGCCTGTAGGTACTCATCAAGTGTCTCGCCAGCGTTTTGTTTTCGCGTGGCAAGTCTGTGCCTAGCGAATATCTCGTTCGTTGGCTTAAGATACAGCCCCTTCAAAATCTCCAAGGCTTCAGCATATGAGGTGCACTCTGAAATAGCCTCATAAATTATAGGCGATACAAAATTTGTCAGTACGCTAAGTTTATCAATCTCACCTTCGCCAGGCGTTGTGAGTACCGCCAAAAAGTTCTCGAATGTCCTGATCCAGTGGGTCCACTCCTTCGCTGCGGTGGCTGAATTCGGCTCACATTCTAACCTCTCTGGCCTAAGAATTCTCTCCATTGGAATCGTATCAATGCGAGTAAGCAGTTAGTTGATTAAATTGTAGTGAACTTCGAAATAAGAGTCGTTTAGTCTTCGTCTACCTTTGTAAGGTTTTAATCAACTAAAATGCAAGCAGTATAGAAAATAATAACAACAAGTAACCTGATAACCACGTTCCAGAATTGTCTCCTCATATGGAGCGCCAAACATAACATTACCTTGTATGGAGTGCCAAACATCTTACTACAGCCTGCAAAACAGCAAATCTAAATAACCATTACGATATAATCACTAGTATGTCCGCTTTCCTTAATAGAAGCTACTGTTGTATCGAATGCATGAAAGGATACGACAATAAGTTACAAGATCGGTGTCAAAACACATGTAAACTCTGCTTCCAAGGTGACTGTGTTGAGGAAATCTGGGAATTTTGTGATGACTGTAATAGATCATTTAAAAGTGAAAAATCATCTTAAAAAACCCTTCGACATCTTATTGGTCCGTATGCGATATATATTATAGATGTAGAGACTGCGATCAATTCGTTAGCAAAAAACGACACAAAGGAAAGCCACATCAATGTGGCGACGAAAAAATCTGCGCAATCTGCAAAACATTTGTACAGCAAGATCACCTTTGTTATATGCAGCCAGTAATTAATGAAACAAAGAGGGAAATAAGTGACGAAATTGACGATGAGAGATGTAAAGTAGTTAGCCCAAGCTACATTTTCTTTGACTTTGAATGCATTTAAGAAACTGGTATCCACGAGCCGAATCTTTGTATCGCTCAAAAAGTGTGCAAGACATGTATCAATATCGACGGGGGTGAATCGTGTTTTAAAGTGTGATGAACGGGAAAAAGAATTCTATGGGCCATGCACTCGCGAAGATTTTTGCAAATGGCTTTTCAACGAAGAAAACGCCGGATCGATTATCGTTTGTCATAACTTCAAAAGTTACGACTCATACCTTTATCTTCGATACCTTTACGACAATGCAATTCTACCAGAGGTAATCTACAATGCCAATGTTATGAGTATTTATGTATCAGCTACAGACATGAAATTCATAGACTCAATAAACTTCCTTCGTATGGCTCTGTCTAAACTTCCAGGGGCATTTGGATATTTTCCGCATCTTTTCAATACAAAAGCTAATCAAGACGTTGTACTTCCCCATTTACCAGATATGTACTATTACAACCCAGACGGAATGTCAATTATTGAGAGAACGAAATTTGTTGTAAATTGGAGCTTTTAAATTATTGCCGATAGGATGTTGATATACTTCGTAGATGTTGCTTGAAATTCAGATCCCTGTTTATGGAAATGACAAAGGATGAATGTAGTCCTGGAATAGACCCGATTGCGTAGGCGTGCAACTTAGTGTATTGGAATCATTCATCCGCTAGGGTACCTTTCGAATGATAGACAATCAATCAAAGCTCTTCAATGGTTGAAGTGGATGTCTCATAAAAATGGACAAAATATTCAACATGCTGCCAATCAGGGAGAAAAACACATTGGTAAATAAAAAGCCGATGAATATTTTCAAGAAAACGGAGAGGAAATAGTACTTGAGTTTCACAGCTGTATGTACCATGGACACACATGTTTGGAACGTGAAAGAAAACACGGCTCGTCTAAAGTCTCCCCTCTGCTCCACATGTTGTGAATCACTTCAATTCAATCTCCATGTGAACACAGCGATGACGATCGTGCGCTTGAGGGTACGTGGGTAACCCTTGAGATCAAAAAGCAGTAGAAAAGGGATATAGAATATTGTAAATATTTGAGGTTTGGCATTTTGAAAATACGTCGGTGTACGAGCCTGCGACTAAGGACGGTGGACTGTTCACATCTTACGTTAACGCCTTCTTCAGGTTAAAAAAAAGAAGCTATCAATTGGCCTAGTTGGTGCAAGACCAAAGACCAACAAGATACATATGTATAAATATACTTTGAAAAAGAAGGAATTATGCTAAATCCCCAGAATATAAAAAAACCCCCTGGTCTGCATGCATTGGCCAAGCTTATGTTAAATTCCTTTTGGGAAAAATTCAGACAGCGCCCAAACATGACTAAAACCACGTATATCGACGACCCAGAGGAATATTTCGAAATGATGGTTCGCTATGACACTAATGTAAACTTTGTAAATGATCAGATGGTAGAAGTACAGTGGCAACAAACCAAAGACTTTGTAGAACCATCTGGTCGTACAGATGTAATCATCGCGGCCTATACAACTGCGCGGGCGCGTCTTAAATTATACGAACTCTTACAACAGCTTGACAGACGTGTATTGTACTATGATACCGACAGTGTGATATACTTAAGCCGAGAAGGACAATGGGAATCGCATATTGGGGATTTCTTGGGTAAACTAACGGATGAATTGGAATCAGACAACCACATCCTCACATTCGTGTCTGGGGGACCAACACATTATTCTTACAAATTAGCCAAGGCAAATAAGAATTGAGATTCAACTCATTGTAAAATTTGGGGTATTATATGAATTATCGTAACGAATTTTTAGTTAACTTTGGAAGTATGTCAAATGGTTCAGGGTGTTGGTCCAATGAAAATACAAGTCACAGACCCGTACAAAATTGTAAGGAAAAAAGAAGAACATGAATATCGAAACACGAGAAGAGAAAAAAATGTATTAAGTTGTATACACTAAAAAGGTTCCTATAGACAATTATGACACTGTTCCTTATGGTTATTATTTTCTAATTAACAACACAACCCCATTTTAGTACTTGTTTTAATGGAATATTTATAAGTCTGTATATGGTTATGATGGTGTTCTGATAACGTCGTCTTTTTTCTTTCGCTATGTATATCTTGTATATTATAATTTTGAATTTGTAGTACCGGTACAGTTACAAAGAATATTATTCGCTCCATGTATGAATGAATTGCTTGAATCGTTTTGCTATATTATTCATGTAAATACAAAAAAAGATAAAATTTGATTGTGGTCATACTCAACCACGGTACAGTTGACCACAGTCCTAAAATCTGATTTGTATAAGTATAGAGAAATCTATTGGATTCCTAGTGAAGAAGTTATACTTTGTTTTGTTTGGAGATTCAACTCTCTTGTTTGTAATTACATAATCTAAAAGGTTTTTTGCCAGTGAGTTCATCCGGAGACGATAATGCCTAAGCCCGATAAATGTACGATGCCGGCAAGTAAGGTACCGGTCACAACTACAGTTTAGTAAGTCTGCGCTTAACGATATAAATAGGCCTACACATGAAGTACCCAATGCTACCAGCCTGGGTTGCTTTAAAAATGAGAATTACGTAACATCCAAACAAAAGGATCTTATCTTACCAAGCGTGAAACCGATCTTTTTTAAAGACGACGATGTACGTAAAGAAAACCATGGCTTTCTAACTGTGGAAAATATTTACTTCGCTCTGTGTGATCTCATTAATGGTGAGAGCTTAATCGGAATACAGAGAGTAAAGAACCTGTGCAGAATCTATCTAGATAGCCATGAGGACAGAGTAAAAATTATTTCTGCTGGGATTAACATAAATTCAAGAAACGTAACAGTATATGACACGAATCCATATTGCCTTCGCACAATGGTATAAATCTACATGAGTAATTAGTATCCTTCTTGTGTAATGATTCTTAATCCCCTAGTTACAGTAACGCAATTTGTTTTTTTTTAATTAGTTTAATTTTCGTTAAAGTTCATTACAGAGGTATGGAAAAACACAATAACGTAAACTTACACTGTCTGTCTCTAAATGTTAGGGTTATGAGTTAAACATAAACAAAGGGCGATTTTTAAATGGGCAAAGGATAACTATGTAGACATTTTCCTTGTTCAAGAATCGCATCTTACGGATGATGTAACTAATAAATCTGACTTCCCTTGGGAAGGAGAAGCGTTTCATAGCTATGGCTCGTCTTTTAGCAGAGGTGTGTCTATTTGCATTACGCAAGGCCTTGATTGTGAGTTGGTTAAAAAGGAAGTTGATGAACACGTCCGTTTTATTATATTATTACATATAAAAGTTAGGGGTGTTTCATAAATATTAGTGAATGTGTACGCCCCCAACGATTATAAGGCACGAAGTACCTTTTTTTAGAAACCTACAAAAAATATACAAAAATTCTGTGATAGCCATTCAGACATACATATTGTCATGGGTGGAGATATGAATTGTATACAAGATGAAACATTGGACCAAAAGGGAGCAAAAAGAGACGGGATTATTCTCTATACACAGTCAAAAAGTTTATGAATATATTTAAATTAATTGATAGTTGGAGGGTCATGAACAAACTCACATGGCGTAGAAACTCACATGGCGTAGAAAGTCAGCGAACTTATTCAAGGGGCTGGATTACTGGTTTGCCTCAAAATCACTACATGACGCAGGATACATTGCCTCATGTGATATTAGACCCGCTATTTTCACTGACCACCAGGCTGTTAAGATAAGTCAAAGTGAGGATTCACGTGATCCTGGTCTATGGAAACTAAATTCTTCCTTTTTGCTTGAAGCTACTTTTACCAAGAAAGTTAACGAAATCATTGAGAAATGAGAACAAAAGCTAAACTTTATCAACTTAAGTGATAAGTGGGAAATGATTAAAGTCAAAGCTAAGGGATACGCTATAAAATTTGGTAAAAATAAAAATAAAAACAGTAAAAAAGAAAAATTACAAAAAGAAATAAAAAAAAAATTAAATGTTAATTTGATGAATAGTGAATTAGATAAGCATGAAGCAGAATCTCAATTGAGTACAAAAACAGCAGATCTGGAAAGTATATATGCATATGAAGCGAGAGGAAATCGAATTCGTTCAAGAACAAAATGGGTAGAAAAAGGAGAGACTAACTCGAAATACTTTTTAGGGCTCGAAAAACACAATGGAAACAAAAAACAATTAAAAAAAAAAAAAGAAGTTCAAATGGAACGCTCACACAAAATTCTAGTGAAACACTGAACGAAAAAGTTAAGCACCTCGAGAAATTATATT